TGTAGCTATAAAAATGCCTTGTTTTAATGGCCTGTATTTTTCCTTTGATTGCATTAGATTTCACTCAGGGAATGAGAGTATGTATACTCAGAATCTGTTTGCAGATGACAGCTGGAAGAAAAGAAGCTTGCATGCAGGATGCTAAAGCAAGATTTCTTTATGTTTTCAGCATTATGAAGTACAAAATCTTAAATATATGCTTCAGTTGAAAGGACAGATTTTGTGAATTTATTCATGACTCCAGATTTTAGTTACTTTTCTTTCTTCAGTATTCCACCATTAATATTAAAAATATTCCTTCCCTTGAAAACTAAGGAACTTCCTGAAGTGCACTAAAAAAAATGAAAATGAGAACAAATTAACAAGGTATAGATTTTCCTGGGAGTGATGCATATTAAACTTCCATGATATCTATGAATTTCAGTTCTGATTGCTTATATAAAAATGAAGTATTCTAAGGTGTTTATAGTAGTATCGATCCAGAGCTATTTTTAAATTATTGATTCTACTTTGATCATAATATTATTTTGGTGTGAGAAAAGCATGAAAATTACCTTCTTTCATTCTTCTTTAACTTATCATTATGGTTTCGATGTAGATTTGCTCCAGCAGAGAGATTTGAGATAGATTGAATCATAGCTGTATTAGTGTGGTTGGGGTTGGACTATGACACTCATTCCACCATCTTAAATTAATCATATTCTCTTGGCCTAATCCTCGTAACATTGTTGTAAGGGGAAGAAGAGAGAAGCATGTATGCTTCTTTGAGTTCCTTGAAGGAAGAAATGAATATTAATTTTAAGGTTGGATTTAAAAGAACCATAGCAATATTCTGAGCCGAATACACAGGGTGTCCAAAACAATCTGAACATTCATTAGTGAACTTAATTCTAAAATCTTTTTTTTTTTAAGAAAATAAGACTGCTTTGCTTATTCCTTTCCCCCTGTCATTCCTTCCTTTCTTTCAAAGAAAGGAATTGGCTGAGTCACCAAATTTCACCAAGAGACTGAAAATCACTAAAGGGTTATGATAGAATAATGGTTGTCGTTCACAACAATAGAGTAAGAAAGTACTGGTGCTCAGATGTGCTTCTCCATGGTTAATTTCCTTCTGTCCCATTTGCAGTACAAATTGGCATGACTTGGAACATCTCTGTCCAATTCTCTTTCTTTCTGACTTTTATGATTCTGGCTTTAATGATTAAGGAAGAGCCTTGATTTGGCCACCACGGTTCCAAGTAGTAGCAATGGTAGTATTTATTTACAGTCTTTGACCACTCAGGAATAGTATATACAAATACAACAAAAGCAATACTGTTCTAAGGAATTTTCTGGTTTCTTAATTAGGCTTTGCTGATTTGCTTTTTTATTTTTCAAGCATTGATTTTCTTTAAATTTTAAAGCTATTTATTTCCATAAAAAGCGTACCAAAAGAGGGAGGAAATCACATGTATTTTAAACCAACTCTAATCCTAGATATAGTTCCATGTCATTTACAGAATTGTTAACAGGTCACTTAGCAATACTGAACAATATTGTGTGCAGTCCAGATGTTTCAGCAGTCTTCCAAATGGAACTCCTGGTGCCAGAATGCTCATTCAAAGACAGAAGGAGAAGCAAAGCCTTTGGACCATTACAGTATCAATCTCTTTGAAGTCATGAAAACATGCCCTTGTCACTTGCATTGTTTCTGTTGATTTCAAACTGCAGATGGTTTAAAGAAACATCTACAAGATCAGTAAAAGTTCCAAAACAAAATGATTATGTGGCATAATTTCCAAAAACAAAACAAAAATTTACCACAGTATTTCACCATGTCATATGGACTAATATGGCATTTTGAACACGACACTGATAACAATAGCCTGACAATTTCTTTCACAAAAGATGCATAGATACGCAATATACACAAAATGATAATTGTTAATCCTAATTTTATCTTACAGAAATATGAAATATAGATGTCAAAATAATTCAATTAAAATCACAAGATTGGACACTCCAGTTTTTTGTTCCATGCTTCATATACTTGAAAAATTAATTTGCTATAGTTCAACAATCGTGTAAATATTTTTATAAGATTTTTTTAACAAACATGAAATATGCTAGTATATATATTCTCAAGCATTTGTTTGATGCATTTCTGCTAAATTATTCATTTTAAACGCTGAGAAATCCTTCAAACAGAACTATTAGGGGGAAAAAATCTGCTCCAAGGTTTAATAGGCATATTGCAAAGCAGAAATAAAGAGTTTGTCCTAGACATGAGTACATGAGTACCTAGACATGAGTATTTTTTTTATTTTTTAATCATTTGGAAGACCTGAATTCAGGGGGGTTACATTTTTTTAGATTCAGTGTATCATAAGGTGATGATTATATGCCCCAGGATGCTATATAAATATGATCAATAAATAAAAATAAATAAAAAATTAGTTTGTCTCATTTATTATGACAATAGCTCATTCTAACCCATTATATCTTTAGGATTAATGAACTTCAAAATTCACTGAACTGGATTGTTCTCCTGCAGCTCTAGGCTGCAGCAAGGCTTCCGCTTCCTAATGTTTGCTGCAGAAAAGCAAACAGTGGTGAAACATGAGGGTGGGTAGAGGAAAATCTGGTTATTTTGTTTATAAAATATAATTTTAATTTCAAAAGTCTGAAGGCTTATTTTGGATTTTCACTCTGCGCTAAATGTAACATTTATGAAGTGCTTGATTTGATGCCTGATATAATTTTAGGTTTTATAGCAATTGCTTTCTTTTACTGGTGAGTGCTCACCCAGAGGAAAGAACAATTGATTACACCCACAAAATTAAATGTAACATTTTATATTTCCCAGTACAATCCTATGCATGCGTGCTTAAAAATAAATTCCACTGAATTTAGTGGCATTTCCTCCCAGGTAGAAGCATAGCACAACTACACTGCATATTTGGTTAACTGGAGTGCTCCCCAGAGAGATATGCATAGGATTGTAGCTCTTGAGAATTACATTTTCAAAAGCTATGTGCCTTTTTAAAATTCAACCAAGTGCCCTACTTGGAATGAAAGAAATTCCTTGGAGACCAAGTTATATACCTCTAATGTATATGCTTTAGAAAAGTTTGGAATAGAATTGTATTGTACTGTATTGTAAAATAGAATTGTACAATAAAAGTATTGTAATAGAAATTTTAAAAATAAAGAAATATTAACGAGTACTTTACATCTGGTACTGAGAGTGCCAGAATATTTATTAGTAATAATGATTAGAATAATACTTTGATTCTATGGACTAAGGATACCATGAGTTTATACCCACATGGGGTGGGGTATGAATCGATTTAGAGAGTGGTCATTGTGGGAAGGAGGAGCCACTCTGTTGCGCAAGGCTCTTCATATATCCTGGCTTACCACGCTCCCCCATGTGTTGGTTTGTTTCCATGATCACACCAGCTTCCATCAGAAAAATCTATGGAGACAAACCTCAAAGGTAGTGATCGGACTAGTGCAGCAGCTTCTGTAAGTGCAAAGGCTGGCCTGGAGGCTATTTTATTTTATTAATCGTATTTATAGCTGCTTTTCTACTAAGGACTACAGGATGTAGTTGTATCACCCTTCACATTATTGTCACTACAGCAATCCTGTATGAAAGTTTTTGAGAACATGACTGGCCCAAAGACACCCAGTGAGCTCCATAGTCAATTGGAAAGTTGGACCCGGGTTTGCTGGGTTCTAGTTCAAACTCTAATCATGACGTATCCATGTGGATGCATGCTCCTTTTTTTAGAATGGATCAGAAATGCACCATAGCTGTGAGCGTATATGCAGTTCTCTGGCCATAAGTCTTATTGAGATCAGTGAGGTATACTGTGGAGTAGATACAGAGCTGATCTGACAGTTTAGGAGAATGAATGTATAGATCCCAGAGCATTATGTTATGTCTTTGGTACAAAGTTTGAAGACCACAGTCTCCATTTAAATTGACAAACTGCACTGTCTTCTGAGTTTACCTCTTTTATTTCTCTCTAAGCCAAGTATATCTATCTGAATAAGTGGTGTGTATATGAGAGAGAGAGAGAGAGAGAGAGAGAGAGAGAGAGAGAGGGAGAGAGATTTGGAAGGGCACCTTACCCCATTTGGTTTCAGATCCCTGAGTATCTTTTTTTCCCCCTCTACACATTCCCCTTTGTGCAATTTTGTTGATTTTTCAGCTTCTTCCTGTCTCACTAATATAAATTTTCTGCATTATTGGAGAGTTTCATAAGCACGTTATAAGGTTGTGTTTATGGTGCATAACCTCAAAATCTGGCTAAAGATTTATCCCTGTAACATCCACCAATTTTCAGAATGGCAGTAGGCAGGCACTCATTATCACTCAAAACTATCCTGATGTTCTGCAGCCCTAGCAAGCAGCATTTTAACAGGCTTTTTTTTTTTTTTTTTGCTGGATAGGAGGAGGGGCACTATCCTAAACAGAATCATGAAGGAGCATTTTAAACTTCGCTATCTTGTGAAATTAATAAAAGAGGCGTCCTCTGGAGGAAGGATGGAGGGAGAAGGATGCGTAGTTGGACTTCTTCAAGACAATTGGAGCTGCATGATGAAGACAACGATCTGGGGGAGTGGATGGGGAAGGACACAACATTGGTAGAGGTTTCAATCCGAAGCAGATGCTTTACCAGGCATCTCTGGCACTGGCCCTTTGAAGTTCAACTTTCTGTTGCGCGAGTTGCAGCAAGTCACGAGCTGTGGGACGGTAGCCCGGACAGCTCCCTCTCCGGAACCAGCTGAAGAACGTGTGAGGACCACGGTGGAGGCTCAGGACCTCGGACAGCTCCCGCCGGCCTGCCACGTACACCCCGCCTCCCCACAACTTACCAGAGCTCCGAAAAGTAACCGAGGCGCATTCGCCTCCGCGCAGCGACGCTGCAGCAGCGGGAGCGGGCGAGGGAAGCCCATCCCAGAGGCTTCCCGTTCCTTGCCTTCTTCCTTACGGGCTCGGCTTGGGAAGCATGGAGCGGAGAAGGTGCGGAAGCCTGGGAGCCATCCCGGGACTCCAGGGGCTGCTTTTGCTTTTCCGTGAGTACAAGCTTTCCCGTCTTCAGCCCCCACCCCGCCGATCGCGAAAATGTTCCACCTATTCGCCTTTGTCAAATCGGTTTGAGGAAAGGGGAGAGGAAAACAGCCAGAAACGTTCGCCTATGTGGCCCGTGTGAAAGAAAAATAGATGAAACTAAATAGCTTCCCCCCTCCACTCCCCACCGCCCCGGGAAAGGCAGATCGCTGGGGTTCGCTGGCGAAATTCCAGATGGTTTAACTTCATGCTCAGAGCAGGCAGAAGCTGCCAGTAGAGAGAAATCTCCCTGTTCAAGCAACGTGGGCAAGCTTAGGTCTGAGTCCTCTTTTCTTCCCCTATTTTTCTTCCCAACAGACGCACTAGCTGGCAGCTTGGCGGAGCAAGAAGCGGAAAACCTTTCGGGGTTATCTCCCAATCCCGAAAAAGCTATTTTTGTAGTTCGGGAAAACGGAACGACCTGCCTCATGGCGGAATTCGCTGCGAAATTAATTGTCCCCTACGAAATTTGGGCCAGCAATTTTGTTGATGTAAGATTCTCTTTTCTCCTAATTTGAATATCGGGTATTAAAAGCGTGAAAAGGATCGATTTCAATATTTGGGGGATATTTGTGAGCTTAGACTTGTGTGCGTGTATGTGTGTGTGTGTGTGTGTGAGAGAGAGAGAGAGAGAGAGAGGGGGGAATAGAATTAATCTTAAATATAATTGCAGCCTTTTTAGAAGCGGCATGTTGCTAAGGTAATGCAACTTCGCTTTCTCCCCCTCCCTGTCACTCACATGGGGGAAATGCTAAAACATCCCCACCCCCATCTACATCGTTTGCAAACTGTTGTCTGTCCTGCCCCCGCTTCCCCAGTTCCCGCTCTCACCGACCCAAATCTTTCCCCGAACAAAAGCTGTTACCTTTCGCTGCAAAAAGGAATTTTTTTGAATCGTGGAAAGTGCATAAAGTTTACTTTAATGCTTTTCTTTTTCATATCGGAGGGGGAAAGGGAATGACAATATATAATTACTCATCTCGATTCCCTGAAGCGCGGAGGTGGGGGGGGAGCGTTGGTCTATTATGGGTAATTATTATTACATCTCGGGCGGTACGGTAAATAAGGCTGCGCTTCTTTCTAACCCGCTGTGGTGGGGAGCTGAAGCTAACCATATTTATGCTCTTTTTATCTATTATATTAGGCAGCGGGAGTGGGGGGGGGGAGGAGAAGGGGGGGACCCCGTACCTTTTCCTTGATGCTCCCGCAGAACCTTTCCTTCTCTTTGTGGAAGTGTTTGGCGTCGGCGCCTAACGCTCCCGTTTGTTGTGTTCGCGCGCGTGCATTCAGATGATCACCGAGCAAGCCTACATCCCGCTTTCCCGCGGAGCCGAGGAGCGAGGGAAATGCGGCAGCAACGAATCCGAGCTCCACATTTCGTGGCTCTACAGAGCTTACACCCTCAGCCTTTATTTTTCCAAGGTATCGAAGGGAAGGCACCGAGGGTCCGCCTCG